GAGCGGTTGGCATAACGTACCATACAAAGGGTTTCAGTACCTAACCAAGAGTAGGCTTCCGTACTGTTCGGACAGTTCTTGATCAGATCGTCCGACGTGGTTCTGATACAGTCAGAACAAAGCTCCGGTTTAGCGTCCGGGACGCACATCCCCACTGCGAAAACCCTGTCAGGAACTTGACCAATGGAAGCGTTGAAGAAGAAGCCGTTTTGAGAGGTGACGTTGGAGGCAAGAGAAGAGAGGAGGATGCCTCTGTTTACGTCGTAAGTGCTGTTTGGTCTGAAAGATCCCGCTGCACCTACACATATCTGTGCAGAGACAGCGTCCAAAACAAAGGATACGAGGACGAAGACTAGGATTGGCGCCAGATTCTTCTGACCCATTTTGGAGACCACACAGAGAGATTCTGGTAGGTCTTTAGAACTGGGAATGAAGACAAGACGACATCGCATGCATATATCTATACGGTATATATGTTTACTCTTCTTCTTTTTTTTCGCAGGTTGACTTTCACGCAAAAAAAAAAAGATGGAAACTGTAATGTGGATATTGTAAATTAACGTAGTTAGAAATTTTCAAAGTAAGAAAATGGGGTCAATATTAGTTTCTTGCACAGACCGCAACCAGTATAATATCCAAGACAGATGTGAACTGGACTGGTCTTGTTTGGTCCGGATATTTGTTGCTCAATGATGCGATGCATCAGATATGAATGCGCACTAACAACAAGGAATATAAAATGTTTTTAAAAAATTAAAAAAAGAAAAATTTAATACGAGATTATGGAGCCTTTGTGAGGATTTTTATTTCTTGAAAATTTTAAAATGATCTCCTTGTAATTATTAAATAATGTATGTTTCAGTTTCACCAATTTAGGGTAATTAAAAATAATTAAATCGATGAGGGAGAAGATTGGACACACGGCTTCGACATTTTCAGAGTTTGCTTCCTCTCCCGCCCAACCCAAATCACATGGAAGTTTGCTTTTACAATTTTACCCCTCCCCTCCACAGTACTTTGTTATTGTCATTTTACCTTTTTGCCCCTTGATCCCGGTTTAGCACATCCGGTTTAACGGTTCAGACCGGATGCCAAAACTTTCACTTTTAGGTTACATAATCATCATCATCATCATCATTTGAGTGGAGTTTGTATTTGGTTACGGTTTAGAATATCTTTGTCGCAAAAAAAATGGTTCGTTCTTTTATACATTTCTGAACAAAATTTATTTCTAAAACTACCAAATCAACGATAACAGAAAAGACAAATTTTAAGATTGTTAAATCTATAATTTATTGTAATAGATCAAAACGTATAAAATATTTAAACCTAATTCAAAATTAACCCACATACGAAATTGATACACAAATCATTTTTTTAGAACAGTAGTGAGAGTTCCAAACGGTAAATAAAAACAAACGAGAAAGTTTTCACATTTCCAAATCCCAAGGAGCGTTTCTGTCTGTTTACTTTGGACCCAAAGAATTGAAAAAGGTCTTCGGTCAAAAGTGGGCCTTCCAATTCCCGAAGCGGCCCATTCTGGTTGGTGGGTGTTTTCCGTAATTTCACCACAAGGGAGATCACACCAATAATTAATTATGTCATACGGTTTAAACTTTTTTTTTTTGGGTAAACAAGGAAATTTAGTTGGGAGAGTGGGGGAGGAATCCCACGTGAAGGTTCCCGAGAAACAATGCTTTGGTTAATTTAATTACCGAATTGTCATTTAATTACTGAATTTGTTGTGTTTCAAATGACTAAATTATCCTTTTCCATCTAATTGAGATCTCTTTGTCAATATTTTTATGAAGTCCAATCAGAATATGGTAAAATGGACCATGCCATTTAATTTTTAAAAAAAAACACTGTAGTTTTTTTTTCTTAAATAAATATTAAAGTGTGAAAAACCATAGCAATGTGTTATACTAATAAGTAATTAGATTTTTTTTAATGCTAAAATGATAAAACTTTCAAGTTGTTTAGGAATGATTTTAATTAATGTAAATACCAAAACTTTAACACCAATTTGTAAAATATTAAATCGGCAAAATAAGTTATGATATTGACAAGTAAAAAAAGGAGGAGACAACAGTTACTGCAGGAGGGTGAGATTGTCTTTTGTTCTTCATCAGGGTCACTTCATGGAAGAGAAACAACTGTGTTGATCGTAGAAGGAGAAAAGAAAAAGACACAGAGACAACAAAAAGCAAAAGCAAAACGAGAGAGGAGAGAGAGAGGAGAGGGGGAGAGAGATTGCACACTCCACAGTGCCGCGAGGGGGGGGGGGGG